ACGTGTGCTCTTCGGATCTGGATAAACAAGTATCTCAATGACATTCCTTCTGTGGTTGTTGTGTTCTATGATTTAGACTGGAATCCTTTGTGAAATGAGAAAAAGATGGAATGTGTGTCTAGAGTGCAATCTTTAAGGTAACATTTTATAATCTGTTTAGAATATACTTTAATGTTATATTGTATTGTCAATACATTAAACTAAGCGATATGATATCCTTTTTAGAGCTGCTCTCGATGGAAGGAGTACGAAAATAGCTGTAGTGTTGATACAACATATCGTTCAACTGCTTCCTGTGCCGAAGACGTAGTCGCGACTGAGCGTGCAACAGCGTTGTGTGGAGCTTGTGATTTAACAGCAAAGCTTTTGTACATTCTGCCACATGCTGATCACTTACTGGGATGTATATCGAGGTTTTTAATTTTATAGTACATATTTTATCCTCTATTTTTTTCATTTTTGAAAGGAAATAATATAGCTTATTTATTATAGGCTAGAGACGACGTTGTACGATTTGGCACAAAACTTTTATCATCACGAATATCGAAATGTTAAAAGTCATTGCGATCAGCTCACTAAGAATGTTCATCAATACTTATTTGTTCGACATCAATTTAAAATGGCATTTTTAAACTCAAGCAGGAGTTACATCTTGCTCAAAAGTAAGATTCAAAAATATGATAACAGTTGTGCTGCAATATGTACATGTACGTATGAATGTTTTGCAGGCATTACATGCAAGCTTACCACAATCTCCTTGAAACAAGAATGATGGATGCAAACGCAGTGGAGATTAAAACTATTGCTGGTTTTATAAATTATAAATTATGTAGAATAATTTTTAATTTGAATCTTCCTAAAGATGCCATTTCTCAATTTAGACTTCATACAGAAAGGTAATTTACTATGCAATAATTTATAAAAATTTCAAACTAACAAAATGATTTATTATTAGATTTAAATTCAAAACTGGTACAAAGGAGCTCATGATTGAACATCACGCTTGGATGAGCAGCCAGTTCTCTACATTTGCAGAATTATTTGATGAGGCTGTTCGTCAAGGATTACCTGCTGTTCAAACGCAACATCCAGAGTATTATTTCCAATTAGCTGCCAATCATGCAAGTTTAAGACAATCTGCGTGTAAAGAACTTTGCCAGGTATATAAAGAGCTTAGTTTTTTAAACAAATACATTACATTTTCTGTTTATATCACATTACTTGAGTTTCAATATTTTAGCATAAGCAGCTATCCAGATCCTGATCCATTACTGGGTGAAAAGAAACTGGAATTTTATGGACAACGGCCATGGAAACTTGGGAAGTTAAGCGCGGAACCAGCAGACACAGCTCGAGAAGCTATTGGCATACAAGCTTTACAACATAGGAAAAAAACTGCAGTTAATCATTTTGTAAGATAATTACTTTTATATATATCTGTGCTTTTAGATAAGCATACATAAATCGTAAAATATTTACATTTCTTTCGAGATGATAATTATTGATTTACTAGGAAACGCGATATCGCAATTCAAAATATATTATCCAAGAATGTGGCGATTATTAGGTATTAATTTGCCTTTGGAAATTTATATATATAAATTACTTATAATAGTTATGTGTGCCTTCCATTTAACGACATAAGCATTCTATCTTTTTTTCAATATTCAATGACAACGAAGACAGAATGATGCTTGTGTCACCGATAATCTTTTCAAAAAAAATGAAAAACGGAGCTAAGTGGGGGCTGAATGGCACATGCGTATTACAGTTAAATGGGAACCTATACCTTTCTCTCTCGCACAGATGTTAGCTTCAGCTCAATGCACTGATGGTATAGCCAATTTTCAGATGGTATAGACACTTCCAATAGTATATGTTCTAAGGGTTGATAACATCGTGTAAAATAGATTTTCATGTCTGTGGAAATAAGCCTAATTTTGTCAAAATTGGAGGGGGTGGGGGTGCTCTGGATAATAACGTTTTATACGTACAATGTGTGCGTATGTTGCGCGACTCGCGTTTCGTAACGATGTAATTATAAAAATATGGAACGAGATATAAATTATATTTTATTTATATTAAAATTCATATAACTTTAATCTTATATTTTACAAATTAGGCACATTTTGCACTGCATTCATTACGAATTCATCATGTCATCATTGTCATGTCAAAATTCATAATTCATCATGTTCCTTCTGCGTTAGAATGTCGTTTATGCTACTGCACCACTTACAAATATAAAATGCAACTACATAGGATACCAAGAACTTTTTGAGCGGAACGTCATGTCGCGGACAATTCAACCAGCCTAAATCCATTTGCACGTACAACTCGGTTTCCAACATCAACGCCGTATGATGCGCGTAACAGACACTGCTCATTCTTGACGTCATCAGATCCTCGGCGCTCTTAAACGTCTCTATCAAATCGCTACTGCTGGCCAACTCGGATCTCGTAACGTCCGTCAGGAGATTCCTACACACGTCGCACCCTTTGAGCCGCGAATTATTCAGGATCTTTGCCGCGATAGAGTTGCAAATACCGAGGTGATCGTGCGCCACGTCCAGAGGCTTGCCCAAATCTAACGTCGCGTCGCCGTCGCGTCTACTCTCCGTCCTGCCGACAAACTCTTTCAACGTGAACAACAACGATCCGTCGATCTTGTTCTCGCTGTTGTTCTCCACGGTACGCGGCGACGCTAAATTGTTGATCAGCAGCGTTTTGAAGGAACTCTCGAATTCCGCGCACGTGGGATTGACGCCCCTCACGCCGAAGGATCTGATCTGCCCGAAGAAGTGGCGAAGGGAGTCCTGGTTCAAAACCCGCGGCTTCAAGCACTTGAACTCGTACGTCTTCAAGACCGTCCACAATTTGCGCAATCCGCCTATGGTGGAGATCCAATTTTTCAGAACGCTCGAATCTCTCAGCTGACTCCTGTCCTTCCGATCGACGAACCGCATCCTCTGCAGCCGCTTTGTCGCCCGCTCCCAAAACGGGAAGTGCGGACTGTTGTGCGAAATGGCGACTCTCAACGGTTTCTCCGGCTTTAACGTGTGCCCGTTAACGGAATCGTACAGCCGATCGAAGAAGAGTATTATCTCTGCCGTATCCCGTCCCTTCTTCTCCGGCATTTTTAACGGTCCATAGAATGTATTCACATGCCCTAAAAAAAAAAAGAACATCGTCACATTACAACTCCACGACTTATATTGATTTCAATTTATTGGTGGGGTGCAAAATCCCACACTTCCAAAAAACAGTAAATATAAGTAGTTATTGATATAATAAAATTTCATTAATATTTATCATGTCTAGTAATAAGTATTATTATTATAACTATTTAAAAGTAAAAATAAATTATAATAATACTTCAAATCTACCTACAATAGAAATATTAATTTTGCCTCTATACACATTTTTGTCTCAGTTTCAATTACATAACAAATTGTTCGTGTTTTTGTGTACAAGAAATTATTTATGTTTGACTCTATCTAGTGCATGAAAGTTGAAATATTATTTTCTATTTCATTCTCTCTATTTTCTCGTTCGACATCGTTAAAAATGTTAATTAAGTTCATCGATTTTTATTAAAAGAGAATTGTAAATATAAAACATGAAAGAACATATGAATCTTAATATAATCACATAATTAAGTCTACCATAATTACACGAGTCTTAATACTAAATTTGCATGAATAAATACCTTTCAGTTTGGTATGATGGTGTATGAAACCACCCATCGTCATGCTCAAAACCTGCGCAGCGTTCTTGACCTTTTTCTTCTTTATTTTGCCCTTTATTATATGCTCCGCGGTAATTTTCGGCATTAATCGATACATGCTGTGAGTCAAGTCCATATGATATGCCTGCTCGATGATTTCCCACGAGGCAAATTTTCGCTCCTCTCCTTCTTCAAACTCAAGATCGTTACTTAACAAATTGTTGCGTATGCCCTTGATGAGATGCGGTGGGTCGTATAACGGGATTATATCTTGCTTTTTTATCGTTATGTAACCATCTAAATAAATAGATATTGAATAAATTAATATAGTAATTGATATAAATATATTTATATATTTTAATAATTTATATTATATTTAAATTTATTTATATTATATTTACTGTTTAATAAAACAGTAATTACATAATAAATGTAATTATTACTTTACAAAGTAAATAGTCACAATTTTCATGCGGGCAATAATCACTTGCCCGTATAAAAAGCACTTACAATACAGCTGCCCTCGTTTCAATTTCAGCCTCGCCGACTCCAGCTTCAGTTTATCTATAGCCGTGAGATTCCTCTTTCCATCGTTGCACACAAAAGCAACTAGATACAACCCGCTGTCGATTATAATTTTGGCAATGTCCTTGATCCACTCGACGAGCTGATTCGTCTTCGTCGCACCGTCGCAAAAATAATACGCCAGCGGAAACTTCCAGCCGCTCTGTATGCCGCGAATCATGAAAATTAACGCGTGATCGGCGAATCGTGCTCTCCTCTTCGCGCCGAAATCCTCGAAGCCAAGAATGTGCTTCTTTTTCGCGTCGTAATCCACGTGAGGTTGCAACAGCATCTCGTCCCACATTAGAAAACACACTTTGTCTCTCTCCTTCATCGATCTCACTCGCTTCTTCAGATACTGACTTATAAAATTAATTGGACCGGGATGAATGTTGATTCTCTGAAGTATAGACTGTAACGTCTCTACGCTGGGCAGATTGAAAACTCGCGACAGGTACTGATAACATTTGCTGGACTGTTTCATGATGGACAAAGCGGCGATCTTCTCGTTTAGCGTGAAGCGTCTGTCCTGTAAATATAAAATTAGATCAATCCACCGTAAGTACATTCTTAGTGCAATTAGGCCACCCTTACGTACTTCAGGGACATGTTTTAACGATCTTATCTGCATCTGGAGGAACGTCTGTTCGACGGGCGTCAACGAGGACAGTAGCTTCTCTACGGCGGCGCTTTTGCTGCACTGCTTGGCCTGCCTTATACGTTCGCGAAACGACAGCTGCTTCTTCACGACGACCTCCTGCTTCCTTCTCAGTATACACGACAGCTTGTACAACTTCCACATTTTTGGCGTGAACTTGTGAAAGCACTTCTCGTGCAGCAAATTCTGCATGTCCAGTAAGTTGGATGGCGAATCTTTCGGCGAGGGAGGCTCCGATTCTAAAGGGTCTCTCTCCATCGGAGTGCTTTGCGGCACTTCCTCCACCGCGGGCGGTTTCTCCTTTATCTCTATTATCTCTATGATCTCCTCGAGCTGATCAATCGCGTCCGTCGTTTTGCTCTTGGACTCTCTGGTACTCACGATACTGTACGTGCGTGTCTCGGTGTTGTTGTTATCGTTATTCGTCTCGCCGTCGTTGCTGTTACTTGTCTCATTGTTATTATTGCCACCGTTCGGCAGGTATAAGGACGGCACGACGCCAGGCTTCAATCTTCGCAGTCTGTACATCGCCTCGTAGTCGCTCTCGGGGAAGTGCCTGTAGCACACGACGCACTTCCTCAGCTGCTCGTCGGTCATATCCCGGATCTTCTCCGAGTGAATCGCCTCCCTCCACTTGCTCATCATGACAGCGTCCTTGGGAAACGTGTGCGAGGGTAGGCCCACGCCCGTGGAACATCCCAAGACGCAGCAGTGTCTACCCATAACCTGAAAAGGTAAACATTGTCTTGTCACCTATTCCCACGATATCTTATGCTATATCGAGGTAATCGTGCTTACTGCAACAGCGGACGGGTAGATTGGTTGAACAGATCGAAAGCAGGCAAAGCAACGTTTGAGGAAAAACGAAAAAAATCAAAGCTCGCACGCTCTACGGAGATACAAATCAAACAGAGGTTAGAATCTCCGTTTTGAATTGACGGAGAAACTGCATTACCAACAGTGATCTGTAAATCTCCAGCGCGAGCGTTCTCGGTTGAGGATTTTAAGCTTCAACAGTTGGCGACACTGTGTAGTAAAAAAATATCAAAACACGTGTTGTGGGCCGATTGTGGACTTCAAATCTCCTCGTTGTTTTGTGCACTTGAGAGAAAGGCCTTCTTATTAATTTTTCTCATTATCATTTGTTCCTGTAATGACGAAGATTTTAAAGAGAAAGCAGAAGGAAGATGTGGAGAAAGAAGATAGGCCGAAAAAAAAGATGTCAGATGAGCCTGCCGCTAAAAAGGTTCGCAAATAACCTATACACGTTCATTTAATATAATATGAAACGCTGTACAGTTTAAATAATGAAAAGGAATCATGATATTAATTATAAAATATATCAGCAGTTCTTTTCAAGAAACATATTCAACAAAATCGGCGTTTAATCGGTTAAATTAAAATTCAAAGAAGCAATTTATTCTCGCAACCAGTGCTTTCTATAATAAATACTTTGCGTTACTCTATAGATTTATACAAACTTATTTGTTGATGAAGGGGAAAATTGAAACGACAATTTGTCTTCCAGGTGAAGTGGATCAACAGGCAACGAGTGTTGGTGTTCGCTACTCGAGGTATCAATCACAGGCATCGACATCTCATGGAGGACTTAAAGAGACTGATGCCGCATCACCGTCCCGAATGCAAGATGGAACGCACGAGGAATCTACAAGTGGTGAACGAAATGTGCGAGATGAAGAATTGCAGCAAGGCTATCCTGTTCGAGGGTCGAATGAAGCGGGACCTTTACGTGTGGCTCGCTAATGTGCCTGCTGGTCCAAGCGCAAAATTTCTCGTAGAAAACAGTAAATATTATATCTAATACCTGAATTTGTAAAAACACATTATATGACAGTTGAATTTTTTCGACATATTTTATTTATAGTTTATACAATGGGTGAGCTGAAGATGACTGGAAACTGTTTGAAGGGGTCTCGCCCGTTGCTATCATTCGATGAAAATTTTACCACACACACGCATTATGCTCTCTTGAAGGAATTACTGACGCAGATCTTTGGCGTGCCGAATCATCATCCTAAAAGCCAACCGTTCTTCGATCACGTATACACGTTCAATATCCTGGACAACAGGATATGGTTCCGAAACTTCCAAATTTTAACGGAGGACGGTGCACTAGCTGAAATTGGTCCAAGATTTGTCTTAAATCCAGTCAAGATATTTAGTGGAAGCTTCGGCAGTGATACTTTGTGGGACAATCCTCATTATATTTCCCCTGCCAAGGTAATATACAGCATTTACATTTTATATCTGATGAATAACATTACGCATGATTGACTTGTTTTTATTATTATTCTTTATAAAATATTATATCTTTAATTTTAAAATTTTCAGTTTCGACAGTCGTTGACGAAAAAGGCTGCCAACAAGTACATAAACAGAGTGGAACAGAAAATGGTACAACAAGCAAATAAACCTGAATTATCTTACGCACTTAATCCCACAGATGAGATATTTAAGGGTGATTTATTGGAGAAAGCAGTAGAATTGGAAGAAAAATTTGAAACGGATGAAAAGAAAAATACAAAAAAGCTTGTGAAAAATAAAGTAAAAAAGATAAAAAAGAAGCCTGTGGTTACTAAAAAAGTTAAAAAGGTGAAATCTGTGAAGTCAAAAATCTCGAAAAAAAAGAAGAAATGAATATTACTTTGTAAAATTATTAATAAAATATACTTTAAATGAATGTTTTTTATATGATGAAATTATTTAGCACCTAAAATTAAATAACTTTAAAACATAATGAATTTTAAAATAAGTTAAAAAGAGAGAATATAGAAATTTTCCCAGTTTATTTTATTCATATATAATTTGATGAAGATTAACTAAATAATCTTGTGGTACATTATGTTCACATACATGTATAAATGTTAAGTAAATATATCATATATATTTTGCATAACTAACTTTGAATTGTTTTTTTCTTAAAAGATATTGTGCTCGCAGGTCAAATTCAAATTTAATAATAAAGCAATTCAAAGCTATTTACTAATAAAGATTTTTCTTCAATCACAAACATATGTTTTATATATATATATATATATATATATATATATATATATATATATAATTTAAGAAAAATGAAATTTCTCGATATTAGTACAGTCGCTCAGTATCGGCGGTATAATGTGTTATTAATATCATTGAATATTTAGACTACATTGAATCCATACTACTTTGTACTTCGTACTTAATATGCCATATTCAACATACAAATTCATATATCAATCTACTTTAAATAAAAACTTCGATATATATATATATATATAATATATTTTTTAGTTTATCTCTCGCACACAGGCACCTGCTTAATACATTTTATTAAAATAGTTTAAAAAATATATATATATACATCGAAGTATGAAAGCCTCTTATTATCTAGGTATGAATTGAATTACTTTATATTAAAATACTTGATTGGAAGGAATGAAAATCGTGTATAAAAGTTTAGAAAATAAATTTTACGTTTGCGATCAAAGGAACATTTCTTCTCATTAATATAATAAATGACTGACATTTTACGTGTAGAAAACTTCTTGAATTACAAATAATTGCACATTGCTGCATTAGAATACATATTTTTTGTAAATAATAAATTGTACATTATAACACTTTGACTTGCACTTGCTTTTTTTGCGTGAGCATTTAAAATCTAAAAATATTAGTACTTATTCTTTTGTTACAACAAATATTCTTAAGACACAGATTTTTCGATTTGTGCAATGGCACTTCAATACAAAGTTTAAAAAATATATAGATGTATATATAGATCTACACTTTGTTCATCAATTAGATATTCAGGAGTATTGAATAAAACATATATTCCACAAAATAAAAAATTCTTACATCATAGGCCTAGTTCACACTGAGCACTTGATAAGTATATCAAAAGATCCTGGCGCACTGTAAATACTTAGTTCGTTTTCGGATTAAATCCGTCACTGCTACATTAGGTTAAAGTTGCTTTAAGATTAAAATTAGAAGTTTTGCGAAATGAAAAACCTGAAAACCTATCATAAACTTAATTTGAAGTGAATCGGTGTAAACAGTTACGTATCAAAAATACCTAGTCTGCACCAATCTGATATACTCGTATCAATTAATTTAACGGTGTAAACTAGGCCATAGTCTAATCTCTATTTCAATGATTCTAGTGATTATTATATAAAATATTCTAATCTTGAAGTCTCTGGCAGTTAAATCAAAAGTTGGCGCTAAGTACAAGCGAATTGTAAATCTCGAAGTGAGCTATTAATTGACGCCGCATTCTCCTTTTTATATATAAACACAAATCGTTCACAGTAAGACATTTAAAATTACGAGACTTTTGCATTGTCAATAAAGCTGCCTAAATATCATTGAGATATCCAAAAAATATAATTAATAATTCAGAAAGTTCTGGCAATGATTCATCACAAAAGAAGACCTGTAGTCTTAAGAGATGAAAATTCACACAAACACACTACAAGAAAAAAACAAACTGATATTACAAAATTACACACAATTAGACAAGAATATTAGATTTCGCTTTATAATATCTTTGCTATTCATATATAAATATATATCGTCATATATTAAAAATATATTATGAACGATCGTATCTTCACATGATTTAAATATCTCTAGCCATTATAAAAATAATTCGAGACAAGTTTTTGCAAAGTTACTTGTATAGTAATACACATATTGCACGCGTGAATATCAGAAGGAATGTACTCTTATCGTATATTAGATATACGAGTGATAAGATGCAAAAGTATTCTATCGTATCAAAAAAAATGTGTGTATAAAAATGTGTATAAAAGGGATGTATCTAAAGTATCAGATACTTATTCGTTCATCGGTGTCATCTCGTGGGACTGCTGTCCGTTTGCATTGCTGCTAGTGGCTCCAATTTGTGCTAACGCAGACTGATGCCACTTTCCATTTTCACCGTTTAAATTCTTATCTTCGCATACACATAGGAATAACGTGTCGATAACAGTCTGAAATAATAAATTAATTCATTATAAAAGATCTCATTTAATAAATCACTCTCACATAAAATGCATTCATAGATATATCATATATACATGCGTGTGTAACTCACCTCGTAAAGGGAAATTATACAATGCGCAATGAAAAACGAGAAAACGCAAATAATGAAGATCGGAACAGCGTAGAAGTGTAACTCAGGATTTTGTTTCATGAAAAGTAACGCGACGCTTCCGGTTGCAGCTGTAACGAAGCACTTTCCCAGGAACAATATAAAATCGCCAAATCCATTGATCACTGCTATTTGAAGAGCATTACTGACGAGTGTTGTGTAGGCCTTAAAAAATATATTTACAAACGTATAACAAAAACTATAAATATCTGATTGTATTAATAAAAAACGTGTACTTTATTCTAAAATTTTTTTTCTGTAAATACGAAAATAAAATCTGTAATATTAGAACGTACTATTCTGGCCGCATTGCAAAAGTGGGTACCCTCTATAGCAACAACGGTGTACGCATTATGATTCATATATCGAATGAATTTCTCCAAACAATAGAAACAGCAAATGCAGGCTTTTAAACCACACTGAGCGCATGGAGATGTTTCTTTGGTTTTTTCAAATCTGTAAAATAAGAAATTACATGTATTCTCTAATTAAGGACGAAAAGATTCTTACTGAAAAGTGAAGATCATTATCTTTTTTTATGGAGAAACTTACTTGGCATGCAGATACGTTAAAATCAATCTGGGTAATTTAAAAATGGTTATCAAAAGTGATCCGCACGCTACAGAGCCCATATGATAGCAGACTAAATGTCCTATAGATGAACATACTGGAAACGAGCTGGCGTTCTTATCTCTAATAAAAAAAAATTGATCGTTATTAAAATATATCAAGATATAATTCTACATTGATAGATTATGAAATATTACCTGAAGTACCAGTGGGCAACGGCACCTGATATTACCATGTCTTGACATCCAACAATAAATTCTGATGTCCATATCAGTCCTATGAGATACACCCACCACATGTATTTCACCCAAGTCACATCAACATATTCCACGAGAGTGAAAGCTGAAATGTTTAACAACTTATTTCATTTCATTTTCTTTGGTAATCACACATGTGCCTCACATTCACACACGTTTATATAAATATACACACACACATACATATATATGTATAAAATAATACATTACTTTTGAAAGAATCAAGAGAAAAATCTATCTTCTTTTCCTCAACGATAGGAGCGTTTTCACCAATTGTACTTAAGTTCACAGGTTCAAATATAGTGTTTTTGTACATTTGCACTGATTTTGTCTCGGGATAATCTATAATAAAGCATAGAAAATTTATTGTCGATCAAAGCAAGCTTGCTTCCTGATTAAATTTACTGTACAATTACTTACTCGCTGTTGCAAGACAAAGAATTACAAATACCCAAAAGGCAAAAAACAGTATCAAAGATATAAATGTTAAGATTGGTTGAAGAAATAGGCCTGGCAATTCTCTTAAGCATTTTGCACTTTCTTTGAATAGTGTCGCCATAAAGCTGATGCGTTTGCGTAATATACATGCAAGAAATAGTAAAATAATCTGTAAAATAAGAAAAAATTGTAAACAGAAATTCTGTATTATTTGTGATAAAATATTAATAAGTGTAAATGTATAACATATACATATATATTTCTTATTATAGAATGACACTTACAGTGATTATAGTAGCGATAATGGAGAATGCGAGAAATGCTCTTTCATTTCTGACAGCTTCTTCGAGCAGTTGGTTTGGATCAGTTTTGTCCAAGGTTTTCTTAATATCAGCATATGTTATCCACAAAAGAATTGTGCCACCTATAATATAATGTCATTAATACTTTTTTAGTAGTAAAATCTGTGTATTTTTAATATTAAATTTAAGTTTTGCCTTTATTCTATCATATATATTTTGTGTAAATAAGTCATTCAAAAAAAGATAGATACATAAATAGCTATTTTTACAAGTTTTATAATTTACTCAAACTATTATTTACGTTACTTTTACGTCCTACAAATTAATTTTTTATATCATAAAGATATAGATATAAATACATGTTCTATGTACATTTTCAAAACTAAAAAATAGTAAAGTCAATAATACTATATTATATTCTATTATATAGTCAAAGTTATGCAAAGTATTAAATTTTCAAAGTACTATATGTGCATTTCTAAATTTAAATGGATAATAGATTTACTTCTATATTTGTTTAACCAACAATTATTAATCAGCAACAGATATACAATATTTAAGCAATGTATTACAATTGCATAATTCGTAAAAATATTATCTTCATAAACCTCTTTCGTATTCTTGTTTCAATAGTAATTCCTTTCTACGAGAAGAACATGTATCACTTATTGACATATTTATTCACAATATTGTCACAAAACTGCAAATATCATTCATTCATATGCTTAATTTATGACATGTACGTTCATTGAAAAGCCTGATCTCCTTATATTATTTTATTATTTTTCCTTTTATTATTTTTCCAAAGTGCAACTTACCTGTGCTAGCAATGCTCACAAGTACGATTATAATCCACGTTACAACACTTGCCATTAAATGAAAGATGGCTATTGTAAAGAGTGATAAAACTGGAAGAAAACAATTAGCTAAGTATACCCCATGTACAGCTTGTACGCATATATTATAGTAATATGCTGTGAATTCCTACCACAGGCGAGAAAAGATAGCGCCAGAATTTGCCTCCAGGTTTTACACAGGTCTCCCAAAACCTGTTCGATGACATCCCACGAATTGATTAAGCCGTATAAATTTGAGATTATCACTTCGCTCACTTCCTTCACCATTTTAGGGATACACCGGTTTAAAACAGACGTGCTGGGGTAAACCGGTCGCTCGGGGCAAGATCCGTTCTTGAATATGCTACTCTTGCTGTTGCACGCGCTGAAATCACCGCCTGGACGATCGTGGCACAACTGCGACCCCGTCTCTTTGTAAAATTTACAGATGTCCTCCATCGTCGACAACATTCTGTCGGGGCATTTCTTCACACAGATCTTCAGTGACTGCGTGACATTGTATATATCCAGGAAGAATAAATATCTGGAATGTGACATAACATCTATTTTCAGAAATATTATCACAGGCGTGGACGGTCTGAATAAATTAGGAGAAAATGTATATGACTGACGGCTTCTCGCTGGTGTCTTGTCCAGAAAGCTCCATGTTGCCGAACTTTGGATTGTTCTTCACGCCGCATGTGTTTCCAAAACTGTCGTATCCATGTATGAGCCGCAAAGGATTGCCATAAACTATCGCAAAGGCGGCAATCAGAATCTGTAAGCAAATAAATTGTCGCATTAGATTGAACTCTAAGAGTTTTACAAAAACGAGGAAGATGCATCTTTCTCAATGGAAAATGCTGTCTAAAGTTATATATCAAATTGTCATACACTGTAGATCAAGTTTGAAAACGCAGATAAAAATGCAGATAAATTATATGATGCACAACACTGATAAAAAACGCAGATAAACTATATTTCTGGTTTTATGAATCACAAGATAAAGAATTATTCTATTATATCTAAAGAATTATTGTTAAAAAATACATTGTTACGGATATTCGAGTAAGTAATCCCAAAAATGTCAATTCAAAAAAATGTTTTCAAACTTGTGACCTGCACTGTTGAACTAAACTGCGTTCAGTAGTAAATTAATTCCGATAATAAAGAATTTATTATTAATGCGACAGCAGATTGATGCCAAAAATCAAGCGATTCTATTGAAGAATTCATAGATTCTGATCTGTTTCTGCCACCATATGCCTGCACAGTAAGCATGCTAAAATCTACTCTCTGTCGTCAGTCTAATTCCTAATATCGTCGCATTTTATTGACAAACTTTGCTACATTCCTGCCAGCACCCTGCCAACAGCATCATATATCAAATCTTTGCAGACTTTCCGTCAACAAAATCTGTAGCAAACACTCGGCAGAATCTGTTCTCAACAGATTCGGCCGAATATCGATCCGGAGTATCGGGCCGCATATGCGTGTTCTCTTTGTAAACAAAGAAAAATCTAACGCGTGGCATTAGCATTATAGTATGCAGATATAGCGGTCAATTATGCACCATGAGAAACCAGAACGCTATGAAGAGGCAGAGCCAGAAGACGTCCGTGCATCCCCGCACTCGCGTCGGCTCGGCCCGCTCGTCCTTGCTACCGGCGCAGCAAGACATCCTCTCCGTCGCTGTCGCGGCACCACCGCTCTGCACCACCCACACACTAAAGAAAGTAGCTAAGGCACTTGTTCCCGCGGCGCGGAGTCGTTATTGTTGCCGCCGCGCGTCCCTTTTGATTCCCAAGTGTCGGTGAGTACAACGTCCAGTGCCGTAGCCGTGAAGGAAGTGCCCCCGAGTCGTGAGTGGCGTGTCGCGACTTATTGTTATCATTCATTTTTATCAATGTAAATTAACTTTAATCTCGGATTAATTTACTCTTTATCCTTTTTTTCTAATCGTCGCTTTATTTACGTTGTCGCAAATACGCGTAAGAGTACGTTTTCGCGCATAAAATTGGCTGAAAATTTCAGGTTGTATATTTCCTCGTGGCGGGTGCCGCGGTCACTGCGGACTGGTCTGCCATTCGCGTTCCGGCGTAGTATCGTTTCCACGGCAACGAACGCGTACGTCACATGGGGGATAAACGCTTCAATGAAAGCTAGCGCCGCTAGCGTTGATTGAGGACTTCTTTTCTCGCGTATATTATATATGAATACGTATGCCAATATACTTTTGGATACCCGGGAAAAAAAGTCCCACATACAATTATATATAATTATATGCAAAATATGTCTATATATGTTTCTTTCCTTTATAAAATTATTCTTTAATACAAAATTGATAATAATAAGGAAACATAAAAAATAATTAAAAGAATAATTTTTTTTTACAAAAAATCA